AGCATAACTTCAACTTTAATTCTGAGGAGACAACTCCAACATTATCTGCAATAAAATCTTACATATCCTCAGAGGATCTGTGCATTTCATTTAGGGTATTTAGTTTAAATCAAAGACATTGAATTGCTTAAAAATTGAAACAGCAAGTAAGCTTCTACCAGTTTCTACACTGAAATCAGGTTTAAACATTCCCCTGAGCACAAATTTCCAAGTAATTAGAATGACACTGCTCTCCAAAGGTACAAGATTCATTGTTAATTCTTGTACTTCATCTTCTGAAATTCTGGGTAGCTTCAAAACTGAGCTCTAAATACAATTAATGCCTTGGTCATATGAAAAATTCAAGGTGATCCACTGTCTAAGATGATGGAAAACTGAAGTCTGAGTTCAGTATCAAGACCCTTTTAGTACCAAGATTCTTGGCTCACTCCTGTACTTCTCAGAATATACCTTCTTCAGAATACCTCAAAACAAGCCCTCAGAGTTTTATGGACTGGCATTAATTCTTATAGATTAATTTTCTGTCATTTATGTGCTGTGTGTGCTTGATACCCTAACATTTGTTGTCCTGCTGTTAGGGGGAGAAATCTCAGAAGACTTTTGGGGGCCCTTTTGTAGTTTTAGCCCTCAACTAGAGCTAAAGTGTTTCTGCCTGGAGCTCAGGAATATCTGACCTTACCATGTACCACACACTTTTACACACCTCCTTCTTTGTGGCTAAATGCTGAATAACTTCTCTTCACAGTGGGGAGTAATTTATCACAAAACACTAAGTTACAACAGCTAAGAGCAGAAAAAAAGAAAACCCATGGCCTATTAAGCAGGCAAATTTCTTGACTAACTTAACAGCAGATTTCAATAAATTTCTGCTGCTTTGAGACTCAATTTTCTTCTAGTTGATACAAAAATCTGAGGGAAACCTTTAATTCACATACCTGCATCTCCTGCAATGTGACAATAACATTCATAAATACATCTCTCTTTATTTGTAGCTGGGCAGGTGGGTAGAAAAGACTTATTTAGTGAGATGATATGCTTGGAAGAGTCTTTTTGACAGTGAAAATATTTGGTTTTCAGTTCTGCCACGTCGTCATGGGTGTAGGAGCTGACCAGGTGAGATGAGGTGGGTTGACTTGACTTCTCACTATTCCAGTCCCTGAGAAGGGAACAGCCATAGGGTCATTCAAACCAGAGTCTTGCAAGGTATGTGGAGCTAGAGGATCAAACTCCAGAGACAGGTTATGCCTGCCCAGATGTCTGCAACATATCCACCTGGACCAATCAATTACTTCAGTGTCAGCACTCTCATTTCTCCCATCTCAGAGGAAATTTTTCAGAGCAGCAGTCATTGCTCTACAGGAATTGTTACAAAACTGACAGCCCAGAGAAACCTTAGATGTAGAGGATGGCTCTGCCTCTTTCTACCCCATTTGCTCATCTTCAAGCAACACATCATTACTCAACTTTGAGAAATAACATTTAGACAGACATATTAAATTGATTTTGATGTCTGGAGACTTGAAGTTGGAGAATTTCACAGAACTTTGCCAGATGTTTCTTTCTTCAGCTTTCTGCTGGGATTGAACAATTATTAGTGGTTACTCTTCAGACATAAAGAAACCAAGTTAGCTTGGTCTGTAGCAGAGAGAGAGCAGAAATTCCAGGTATCACAGAGTACTGATCCTGGGGAAAAGAAAAGAACCCTCAAGAAAGTGAAGGTGCCTACAAGCACACACTTCAAAGCAATTTGGTTGAGACAAATACAATTTTGGAGTGTGTGCCAGACACAGGGGAAAATGAACAACAACAAAACAAAAATACAAACCAAGCAAAAACAGACTGAAAATGAATGTACAGTCCAAGGAGAAGTAGCAATTAGGTTTGCAAGACAGAACTGTTTCTTCTGCAGAGAAAACCTGAAAACTACCAGCAGCTCACAGAGTCTGTGGTGTTCAAACAGGGCTGATCCAGAATTTCTAAAGTTTTATTTTTAGGCTAGCAAGGTCATCAAAGCCTGTTTCAAAGCTCAGATTTAGTCACAACAGGCAAGAGGACTTGAACATATGGTTTCCCCTTGGCCAGTCCCAGGTGAGAGAAGGAGTCCATGCTCAGTATTTATTTTTGGTGTGATCACCACTGAACATGCTGAGCCTAGAAAGCTTCTACATGGAGCCAGAATGCTATTAACACCTAAGGCAAGTTTATTTATCCCTTTCAAATCCCACACAATTAGAGGGAAGCAAGCTACTGCAAATTGCTGTCCAGAGAATGTACTACAGAAAGATAAAGTGTCATCTGCACGATCTACCCCTGGCCCTTCATCAGATCCACACATAACTCCCCATAAAAATTCTCCAGGTGATAGCTCATACTCTCCCTTCTGTTTCCATGCTACTGAGCATGAAAAATAGCTTCACAGCTGCAACAGGCTGCAGGGAGGGAACAGGAAAAAGAAATATGACTTGCAGAGGCTTCTGTGAAGTACAGGAAAAAATAATGGGATCTGGTGATGTTTTCTTAAACCCCAAGGAGCTCTATGTTGAGATAATTACCATACCAAGTTCCAGGTAGGTATTTTATTGCATTTTATTAACTATTCCTACCATCTACACTCTTGCTACCAGCTAGGCTTATGCATTCCTCTCCTTAATTCAGTTTCATCTCTAGAGAAAAGGCAAATGACACTTGGCTAACTCCAGCTAAGTTTTTATTCTTTATGGAAGGCAGGGAAGAGCAGGTAGAGGTGAGGCACTCTAGAAAGAGACTGTGCATTTAAAATACTTTATGCAAAAAAAAGCACATGATAGATCTACCCAGTCCCTGAGCTTCTCTGCTTCTCCACCACACACAGCACCTTTTCAAAGAGCCTGGGGAAGTATTGCTTGATGCATTGTATGTGGCAAACAAACCAAACACTTTGGTGCTGGACCACTTCCCCTCCTCCACAGATAACCAAAGCTGCACATAGCAAACAGTAAACAGGGGGAAGATGATTTGAAAAATATGAATTTGTCCTGTTCCAAAGGATCAGTACACTTCAGTGTTTTAAAATTATGGCTAGCAACAACAGCATGTGCTGAAAAACAGATTGCCTAGCAATGACCTCCTGAAAACCAGGTTTACTGCACTGGGTACACTGACTAATGGGAATGGCTTCCAGTTTGCTGGCAGGGCTGGAACATGATGTACAAATACTGGAAATTATTGAAAACCTTCCAGCACAGAGTAGTCCTAGAGGAGCAATGATAGAACTCAGGAAAAGCAACCATATCCTGTCAGGCATTTCAAAGAGTAGTATTTTATCAAAAAACCTAATAAAATCCCCTGTAAGATTACTGAATGCCTTTTCCCAACTCTGTAGACTATAAAGACAATTTCTTGCTGGAAATAAACTCACATGAGCAGAGGAATTGTGAGAATGCTGTAACAGATCAACCATTGCTTGCTTATTCTGAATTTTCAGACAGTGATTACAACAGCAGAATACAAGAATGGTTTGGGTTGGAAGGGACCTTAAAGCCAATCTAGTTCCATCCCCCCTGCCATGGGCAGGGACACCTTCCACTAGCCCAGGTTGCTCCAAGCTCCATCCAGCCTGGCCTTTAACACTTCCAGGAATGGAGCATCCTCATCTTTTCTGGGCAGCCTGTTCCAGATGATG